ACAGGCATAGCCCCACATTTGCCTCTGGAATTCGAGGCCTAAAAATATTTTGTAGCAGCATATTCAGACTGAAAGTAGATCATGTTCATCTGTGGAAGGCCTTTCCAAAGTGATGCTTATGAACAAGCTTACAGTCAGGCCATTTATATTTATTAATAAATTTAAACTTGTATTTTATTTACGTTGAGCATTGCCCAAACAAGACTAAGAGGTATTTATTTGTTTTTATCACACTGGAATGCAAATATAAGCACTTAAAATGTTTAATTGCAAAAAAATTTCATCATCATCATCAACAAAACAAGCTCGTGATATAAGTCTGGTAATGTGCTGTCACGTTTGTTCATGCCAATGACTTGCAGTGCTTTTAAATACTCCACTAATTGAACATAATTGCACGTGATTGACTGCATGTCTTCGCTAAATGGTATATCGCGCGCCCATAATGCAGCAGGAGAATGGCTGATTCCTTAAAACTTAAAAAAAATCAGAGACTGTCTGGACATCCCCACCATAATTGCCTCATTATCCCAACTCATCTCCCACCAAGTCCCTGTACACCCTCAATGCTTTTGTGATTTTTTGGCCCAAAAAGTCAAAAATATATATATTTTTCATAGCGATGCACAAATGTTAACATTCAACATTATTCCCATCTTTGGAACTCTGCTCTAAAATAACACCACGAACTAAAAAGCGTGTCAACAAACACAGGAAGCAAGTGACAACCGACGACGACTGTTTTATCTACTCGAGTGAGCAAAGTGAATGGCTCAAGTAAAACTGTCATCAGGGTTCAAACCGTGCCCTGGTCTGCATGAACACTGCAGGGCAATGTGGTGTAGCAGCACTGCTTACCACCAGGGAATGGCTGTAGCGCTGTACATGAGAGGAGCGATTGTAAGAAACCTCTACACACTACAGTCGAGCATTGGGTCAGGCTAAGATGGAAACGCCACGTGAATTAAAGCCGCTTTCGCTTAAACAAGGTATGCGGCACTTTGTCACACTCTCGTGCTATAGTTTAGGTGAGTGGATCAATTGCCCTGCAAACAAGAGGTCAAGAGTTTAAATCCCACCAAGCGAATGTTTGTTTTGACTACAAATCCTGCGCAGAGCTGGAAAAACTCACGTGGTGCAAAGTGCTACAAGATAATGTGCTCTTCTACACATGTCTCGTGTGACTGTTGTTCATAGTCTACAGCCTTGTGCCGTCCACGCTTGTGGCTCGCTCACTCTGCCTACATCTATGGTGCAGATTGAGCCCTAAATTAAATCAATTCTTAGCGTTGATTTAATTTAGAGCTCTCTTCGCTGTAGTTGTTACCTACTTTATTGTGAGTATGAAGTTTAGTGTGTTGCCTTTACAATTGAAGCTACACACCATTGAACAGCAATGCAAAGGCACTCAATTTCACAAACAACATTTTGAATGTGTGTACTTTCAATCGACGTGAATGTACCACCTCACGGCATTGTTTCTTGTTGGAAATTGAAGCTGTCGAGGTGTTTGCCGAGCCTAAGGAAATCACAGCGGTCCATTCTGTTACCCAATCAGTAGCACTGAGCTCCACGTAATTCAATTTTACTTTCCCTTTAAACGCAAGCTGGACGAGGGCATTCACTTAAAGGCTTCAACGTTCAAGGTTTACGGGGTTCAGTCCAGCCGATCCGAGCCAGTGCTCTCTCTCCGAGGTGACACAGTTCTGTGGGTTAAGTCGCAGCGTTCAACAAAGAATAAAAGCACCGCGACTCCCCACATCAACTAACCCGACACTCAATGGCCTTTCTCATTGGTGGGTGGGTAAGGTGAGAGCAAAGCGTGACGGTATCTGGTGGTATTCTAAGAAGAATATGCAGATGTCCCACTTAACATGCATTCTCAAACAGAACAAAGAACAGATGTGTTTGTGGTGTAGTCCTCAGCCATGTTAAATATCCCCAGTAACTCCATGTTAATTGGCAACATGTTTTCTTGCTTACGTCAATCAGCAGCAAATTCTCCACAGCATACGGTGCCATGAATGTATTTAAAAGGTTACATTGTGACATGTGGCTACATCATCTGCACTTTGTTCTGATATCCCAGCATGCATTTATAATTGTTGTATTGCATTGCTTCCGTGGTGTTCTGATATTGATGCCATTCAGCCTGAATTTGTTGGCAAGAGGAGGAATTTGTCTGAGCATGCAAAGGCCTTCCGAGTGAACTATTGTAGCAGAGCCTGCCCAACTGAACCTGGAGTCAAGACAGAAGAATGCAACACAATGATCAAACAATGGTTACAGTGGGGGTTTTAACGCGGCACACGTTGTGCATCTACAGTTATGCACACCCAATATCCTGCTCACACATTCCCCACCCCCCGCCCCACACTAAATTCTGTGCCGATAGGTGTGATCGTGAACTTTGGGGCACTGTGTATTGTTTGCAAGGAATTGTATTTGCCATAGCAGCAGCTTAATGCTGAGGAGCACGAACGTGTTCTGGGACTTGTGAGTGACGTACACGTCTGCAGTTTCATGAGGACCACATGCAAGAAGACTAAGACTATGTAAAATCCATGATTTATCTCATAAGTAGGGCTCACACCTGACGTCATCACACCTATCCCTCGACTTAAGGAATAAAACAGGAGGATTTATCCACAAATCTGGCTGACGCCTGATGAAGCTAGTTGTAATTACTGGCAAAACGTCGTACTCAGATTGTAAATGTTGTGGATTTGCTCCCCAACACACCGATATGCTGTACTAGTGACGAATTGGCACGTTCTGTTTACGTGACAACCCTTACTAGTTGGCTGTGTCGGGTGTTGGCGGGTTTAACGACACATTTATATTTATGCGATCTAACCCCCCAAAAAAACCCCTATATTATCGATTTATCTATACATGCATAGTCACACGCAAAACTTATAAACACATGTAGGCATATAGACTGCATAAATTACATTATCAGTTGATCAATTAATTAATGAAGAGCTAATCATCACAATATATAGGCTTCATGGTTGACAAAAGACGTTCTTTCCTTTGAGAGACTCCACTCGTGCAACGTCGACAGGTTTTAATCAATCCGTGTCCTCTTGACCTTTCACAATTAATCCTGCCATGGGAAAGCAATGCTACGAACGCCAGGAACGTGCCGTCACTATGCTTTTATGACCCATCGTCCAGATGGTCTCCAAGGAAGATGTTTCAGAGTGTCAATTGTGGCTCGTTACACTCTGGTGAGTGCGGCTGCCGCGTTCCCATCACAACTTGCGCGACTCATCGAGCTGTGGACACGACATTGAGAAGCATGGCAATGGTGGCTTGTTACCACTACGATGCATCGTGGTGGAAAAAAAGTTGAAGGTACAGGTGCAGTCCTGCACATTTTTGCTCACACCGCTAGAAATCCGACATTTGGCCCAAATATAATCGAGTCTATGCTTTCAAGTACAAACATAAAATCACAAATTTCTCTACGGTATTTCGGCCGCCAACAATTGCAGCCGGAAAGTTTTATTTACCAATAGGGCAGAGTTAGCCTAAAGCTCTCGACTGCTTTAAAGCTCATATTAAACACTTCCACAATTTGGTCTCCATCATCAGTAAACGAAGTCATGTACCTTCCCTGTAGTTTAATAGTAAAGCAAAGCCCGCTACTGGTTACTAGTATAACCATTATACTAAGAAAGAATAAAATAAAAAAAAATAAAAAAGAGGACATTATCCAAAACAGAGTGCAATGTGAAGAGGGTGGCAGAGGAACTAATGCACCTCAGTCATGGCCTTCTCACGCATCGCTGGAAATTTTGATGACTTAAAATTAAATAGCCCATGAAACTGGATGACAGGCCAGCAAGTCTACAGAAGAGCACTCATGGCGTTGGCTGGAACACAGTGCCGAAGGGTACACAGTATGTACCAAGGTGGCCTGGCAAGCATTCGTAATTTCTATGCCAGCTCATATGTTCATGTGCAAGTTTGGGCAGATTTAGGCCTGCAAGGCCTCCAGCAGCTCGACACCCACCAGCTACAGGCTTGTCATCGAAAGCCAATACTATTAAACGACTCACTCAGTTGAGCCCACTTTGCAACGAACACGTTTTTTTTTTTGCCACACTGAAGGAAAACACATTTGTGTTGGTTACGGAATGCATTAGAATGTGTTTCAGCTCGCCAATTTCGGCATAATTCAGGAATATGAAAAATTATATGCAACTGTGCAATAAATTGTGTGTGGGGAGGGGGGGGGGTCTATGAAGGATGTCTACAGCCATTCTTCACATGCTGGTGTTTTTTTACATATTTATTTTCTAAACAAACCAAACACAAATAAAAATCAGTAATCTTTCTTGCATTAGTGTGCAAGTGGTGGTCAAACGTTTGTTGGGAATGCGCTGCTTAAAAAAGACACTGTAGTTTATCAGACGGAGAAATGTATTTACCTTACTATTTCTCGTGACGAGCTGGATATATATTATGCAAAACCAGGTCTTTCAAAACTTCACAGTGTGTGTACAATTTATGTTAAACAGATAGAAGAGGGTAGAGTGGTCTGTGTGTTTCCTGAAATTGTGACTGGACTAAAATGTCCCCATTTTTTTTTAAGCTTTCGTGACTGCATGAATCCATACTCTTTGGTTCTTTCGGTAAAGTCACGTAGGTAGAAAAAAATAGCTCACGACGTTTCGATCGCAACACAAGCAACCGTCTTCACGTGAAGACGAACCAAAGAGTATAAAATATCCCCACCTGGTATGTGGTCAATTAACATACTTTGGAGCGGACAAAGTTTCCCCAAACATGAGCAAAACAAATCTCTTCAACGGATAACGACTTTGGCCATCGTCATCATTTATAATGTACACGACCTCCCATGCAGGGAAACTGTTCAACTCAAAGTGCTGACCAGGCACCACGTGCGGATTGGCAACAGTTCGTGTGGGGGGGGGGGGGCTTTAATGACCTCCATGCCGGACTGCCGGCGAGAGAGGCGGCACACTCACTTTTCTGCAGGAGACGGAAGTCGGGAGAATCGTCCACAGCGGTGTCCTCTCGGTACCACGTAATCTTGGGTGCGGGCGAGCCCTTGACGCGACACTCCAGCACCACCAGCTGGCCCTCGGACGCCGTCGCGTCTGCCAGCGGCTGCAAAGGGCGACAGGCGAGCACGTGCGGCCGTTGTAATGCTGAGCCTCGGACACGATTTTTTGTCCCTGGGTTAGTAAGCGTTATTATTTTCTAATTGCGCAATGCCTCAAAAGTATAGAAAGTGGGTATTATTATTCCCCGCAAACTTTGCTTTCGTGACCAGGACTTTACGTGAAGGAATGACACAAATGCACACCACGTTTTCTCATTGAAAATAGGTACATTTCAAAATATCACTGTCCTAATAGCCATTTTATGTACTTTTGAGGCATAAGCATTTGGAAAATAACACTTGCTCCCCAGGCATTTCAACAACCTCCGCGCAACTTTTGGCTCGAACGTCATTTTTTTGTTTTCGCTCTAATTGATGTGTTGCATTGCTGCACTTGTGTTGACGTCCGTGGATTTTTGTTATTTTGGTGATCCCCGGTCTCTGTCTCGAGAATTTGACTCATTCCGGTCTCTTGAGTTCTCACCTGGTGAAATAAAACAGGGTGATCTATTTATAGACACCCCTCTGAATTTGAATGACTCTCTAACTTTTTTTATCAATAGATGATTGCATTTTGTGAAAGCGATGGGCCCCGTATATTACCGGGGAGAATGTTAAAATATTTAATAAGTGTACTGGACGTGGTGGTAGACACGAAGAAGCTTTGAAATGAAACGTTGGTTTTTAAATATTGTATTACCATTATTTAGTGAAGTATCTATAAATGGATCATCTTGCATACATTTTTTTAAATCTCAAACGCATAGTAGGTGCCATTCCATAAAGACAGGGGACCTTTGTTTTGGATTTTATTTAGCAATAAAAAAAATCCAGAGCTTTTGAAGTTCATTTGTTTGAAGTTTTAAGCCTGCCAACATAACTGTTATTTGGCTACTGGCAGAAGCAGTAGACTTCCAATAATGAGGTAATTATATGATTTCCAAAGGAGTAAACATTTGGACAAATACAGGTTTTTTTTTGCAGTGATGAATATATTTTTCCATGAAAGAATAACAAAACCTGAATTCTTTCCGAAAACCATAATAGGTAAAGTATATATATATAAAATTACAATCGAAACGCATTCAGTAAACAAAAAACAAAGACAGTAGCTAAAACGTTGTCTCACGAGACTACAAATTAAATCAGATAATTTCTAGTGAATTTTGAGCGTTAAAATTGGATGTGTAATTGGTTTTAATTATATATATGAGGGCCAACGTAACAGTCGGCACATGGCTATGGAAGCGAATAAATCAGTTCGTATGCAGGTGTTGGGTGAATTGCCGCATTGCAGGATCATCACAGAGGTGGTGGCCGAATGGGAGTCCTTCATCCAGCAGTCGATTTAGCATGGCTGATGATTATAAATAACAATTAAAGGATTTGTGGGCAGGAGGTTGCAATGAAGAGTTCGTTTTATAGACATGAGCAGATGTTTGTAAAGAGAGTCTCTGTTCAAGTTCATCAGTTTATTAACTTTCTTTTTTTGAAGATTTCTCAGGAAGTATGGGAAATGGACTTGGCACGTGTGCATAGCGGCAACAGCAGTAGAGATCCAGCATGAGCAATGATGTAAAAATGTGCCGCCTTCGTTTGTAACATTATAGACTGCATTCTCTAACCATACTGCTCAAGTGTTACATGGCAGCACTTTGGCACCAAAACAGGTTGCCTGCGTTTTTGTTTACAGCTCTGTGCTTCCAAAAATCAATTAAACACGCATCACATCTTCCTGGCCTTCTTCCACAACCGCTGGGAAGTCTGGATATTGAAACGTTTTACAGGCGGCTGGTGGTGTTAGGGTTTGAACATTGACGTGACCGGTTGTGCAGATGAGATCAAACAATACTTGAGAAATATAATCATTGGTTTTAACCTTTCTGGCAATAAAACAGGTGTTACGATGTTAAAACACCAAACATAAACCTTTTTTGCAAGGAATCCTTTCTGCATTAACCACACGTACGTGTGGTTAACATGCAAACAAAAACATGTTCTGATAATAATACATGCATTGTCTTTGAAACTGATTGGTCGACACCAGAGACAGCTTTCTTTTGAGCCTAGTCTCAAAGTGTTTAATACTTGAAAGAACTTGCCGCTGCTCACAACTACAAGCAGAATGTTTCATAGCAGGGAAGGTGGCAGTTTTTGATTGCCTTTTTATGTAAATATGGTATTAACCAAAAAAACATATTTATTGTTTAAAATATAATCTTTAATTATTATTTTTAAGTGCATGCCAAGCAAACGCTTGGTAGGTGTCCATTGCAATAAACAGGAAGCATATAAATATATATATATCATGAATGTATAACTGTAATATAAGCGAGTTCTGAATTGTAAACACATTAATATTCTTTGACAATATTTATGCCCCAATGTAAAATATGCACGATCATGCACGGGAGAGCGTATTAGATATTGGGGCAGAGTTGATGTATGGCTTCCACAAACCGCAAGTGTGGGAATATAAGGGAGCAGGCAGGAACAGGCGGGAGCAGGGGGACAGGGGGAGCAGCTACCCCTCAACACATTTGAAGAGGAGGCAAAACCACAAGCTGTGTCCCCTCAAACAGTGTTCGTGGGCCAGCTTGTCTAATCAACATGGGCCCCTCTGGCTACTCTCAAACCAAAAATCATTGCCACGTGTGTGCCTGCCACAGAGTTTCCATCGTTGGGGGGAACCTATAGCGTTGAAGGGAGCCCCTAAAACAACGCCACGCATTACAATCGGCTTCCTACATTCACCGTGTCCCAGTGTACCCCCCAATATTGTAAAAGAACTGCTTCACGCACGTGGCGACAAACTAAATGCAGCATTAGCCTGAAACATCAAATAAATTACTTGAACCTATCAAAATGACACGATTGATTTCATTATACTTTAGGGTCATCGATGGGCAATCTGAATTTATATTTAGTTAGTGCACGGGCACTGAAAATATGTGACGTTACCTATTGTATAAAGTGTACTAACTCATTCTGCACTGGATCAGTATATAGAGGAAAACCATATTTTAAACGTACAGTAAAACCACTGGAAAAAACACAATCAAGCTGTAACATCATCATCATCACCCAGTAGAGAACTGTAGACAATTGCTCCATTATCTTAATTACCTCTGCAATGTATTATGGTTCAGTCTTGCTCTCTACGCGCTGCAACTTGTGATTGACTAATCAAAAACTTTTTTTCGGATTTTATTCTCCAATTGTTCGTCATGACACATTCAACCACTTTCGTTCTGTCTCTCTGATTTATATTGTCTCTCTTTCTTCGGGTTTACTGAGTTCTGCGGATTCTAACAAGTTTTAGAATGTCATTTTTTCTTTTCGCTATATTTCACCGGTGTACTTTTTGTGGTATCCAATAAGTTGTTATCCAAATACGCCGCTTTAAAAATAAATAAATTAATGCGAACCGACACACCTGATGACGACCGTTTGTGTTGCAGTCGAAACGTCGTGACAATTTTTATTGTTTTATATATATTTTATTAGGTTATTGTTTCCCTTCAACGTGACTTTACCGAAAGAGCTAAGAATAAGTTGTTAACCGTTTTTTTTTTACCCCCCCACCCACCTACACTGTTCATTACAATACCAATTATTTAACTGTTCATAGTGGTGACATCTATTTAACGATCTTGCTTCTCTTGAGATTTCAATTGGTGGCTTAGATTTAGTCTAAAGCCTCCAACCTCCTAGACTGGATGATTTTGAGGTAGATTGTCTTGTTTTTGTCTGTAATTAGCCCAGTGCTCCCTCCGGGAATGTTAAAAGTGTTAATTGCACTGCGCCAACCTGTGACCACTTCCTGTCATGAATCTGCTGGAACAGACACATCTTAAAATGTGTTATTTATAATTTCTAGATCTCAGATCATCCATGCCCATTTGATAAATTTCTTATATATTTTTTTAAGGTGTTTGTTATATAAGTCTCCTCACCCTAATGCACACATTAAACATCTACATTATCGATTTAAAGCTTTCGTGACTGCAAGGATTAATCTTCTTGGTTCTTTCGGTAAAGTCACGTAGAATGAGAATAAAACAATAAAACAAAATAAGACAATACAATTCTCACGACGTTTCGGCCACAACACAAGTAGCCTTCTTCAGGTGAAACGTCGTGAGAATTGTATTGTCTTATTTTGTTTTATTGTTTTATTCTCATTCTACGTGGTGACTTTACCGAAAGAACCGAGAAGAGCTACATTATCATTTCTGTTGTCTGCCTTCGCATTAAAGTCACCCATTATGATGTATGTTGTGTTTTTCCCTCATTCCGAAGTTAATATCTTCATATACTTGGTTGAGTGCAACATCTTAATGGCTCGTTGTTGAGGCATATGTTTGTATTATCTTTAGCTTTTAGTGGTTCAACAGTCTTAATCTTAGGAGGATAACCAAATCTGATTCTCTCTTGAACCCTGCAACTCAATGTTTGATTCCAGAGAATCTATGAAACCCACTCGTCCGAAATTACTCTCAACTGTTCCCTCCATGACCGAAGTGGTTGCTACTATTCAGATCGGTTTAAATGTAAGTATGTGTAGAGTTCTCACCTCACTAACTCCAACTATGTCCTTACTTATGTATCTCAAATCAGACGGGTTTTATTTGACAGAGTACTCGTCTTTAGAGTAGCACTACTGTAGTTACATCCACAATGCTCCCTGTTGACACCCAGTGATTCTTCGCAATCCCCGCATTCTCACCTTTCAAGGAGAGAGCATGGCCGGCGAATTACAGATTCTTCTGGACTCTGGAGACTGAGAGCCATGACTTAGGCAAGTCAGCCAAGGTGGCAATTTGAGCAAACTTCACCACGCTGGTCAGTGCAGGTTGGTGAAAATGCATAGCTGTGTCATCTCATCACAAAACATTGCAGATCCCACAGTGCTCACCTCAAATGGTCCCGTTGAAGTGCAATTTGCCAAGTTAACTCGGTGCCATGATGAATGAATGCCTATTGGCTTTTCTGGAATCCTATT